TTTTAGGGGAACATAGAAAAGAAATATGATGGAATTCTAGGGTGATTCGAATTGAACTAAAAAAAGGCGAAAAGTCGAGTTACCCGTAGTTTATGTAAACTGTGTGTGAGTTCCACGATGTTAGGCTTTGATTCAGCCCGGTGAATTTTGCTTCAAAATAAAATTGCCTTCTGGTCTGCTGGATGTTGTGTGTTCATCTGATCAACCTCAGAGTAATATTAGAATCACTTAGAACTAATAAAATCTTTAAATTCGGGTACTGCATCAAATAGTAAGGACTACATCGACTATTAGTTCCAAAAATCCATCCCTTCAAATTTCCTTGATTCTTTGCTTCTCATTCTTTTAAAAAAGTTAAAGTTTAAAAAACAATTCTAACCACATTTTCTGCTGTTTTCACCCACATTTAACTCAATTTTTGAAATGCTGTGAAATGAATATTTGAACTTTTTGGGCACACCGTGTCTATACTTTTCAACTTTCTGATGATTTTAGCAATGCTAACAAGTTATTTGCTTTATATAATTTATTTGAACATGTAATTTATAACCATTCTAGTACTTTAAATAAGTTCCAGATGATCATACTGACCTATTTTCACGGAAGATTGGCACATCACTTTGATTTCAATAGCATCATGTAAAAAAGAGGATTTTTTGGGGCATTCCAGATTTTTCCAGATTTTATATTTTACCTGATGGATCAGATTTTTCTGAAAATGACCTGGCAACGCTGCCTTCAATATAGGTAGGGGTTTTGATCTAATTTCCGTCCTACTAAGCACAATCCACGCTTTACCTCTCTTTCTTGAACGGGTTTCAACAATAAATGAAATGTTTCTGTCATAGATGACTTCTAAATTTATTCCCCTTTCCATAAGTACCGTTGAATTTGATAAAGAGCCATATTGTTGAGATATTCACTCCTATTCTGTATTTCGTTCGAAACAAAATTCCTATACAAAAAATTTTTTTTTTTTTGTATGAGAATTTCGTTTTAAACGAAATACAGAATAGAGGTGATTGTTAAAAATCTAACACTGCTTCTTGATTCAAAATGCGTCCTACGACTTTCAATCCCGTCGAAACGCATTGAAACGCCATTCATTGAATTTTCTTCGTCATACGGATGAAGGTAGAAAAAGCGAGTTAGCTAGGAGTGCTTCTTTTGTTTTGAGAACAATGAGTGTAAATATTCACACAATACGCTCTAAAGCTTTGTGTTGTAGCTTGTGAACTAACGCATCGATACAAATGTATTACCACAGACAAACAGACATAACTCTGGCAATTTGTTCATCGAATACGCATCTAACGGCCAATTTAAATGTTTTTAGTTGGTAGTACCGCCACCTGTGGCGCGCATAGTTAATAACCCTTGCGTTTGACGTTTACACACTACCGCCATCTGTTCAGTGTACTACCCATCACAGTATACTCAACAGATGGCGGTAGTTTTTTAGCGACGATGTTTCATATTGAACAATATTCAAAGAATTATGTCTGTTTGTCTGTGGTATTACTGATTTATGAATGGTGAAATTATTGATTATACTGATGTTTTCTGTTCGCTCAATAGAACGGAAATGGACGATTACGACGAAGTAGTGCTCTAACCTACATCACTTATCAACATTTTCTAACGAAAATTATACATCCGTGTAAAACTCTTGATAACCACAATAAATACAATATAAAATGCAACAACAATGATATCGCCGATTTAAAAAGCTAAAATATTGGTGCCTCTTGCCCACGAATACGGCATCCATGGTGATTTTCTGAGCCTCAACAAATTCCTGTCGAAGAAACGACTTTCCACCCCTGTTCCCATCTCATAGGATCTCATTAGATGCCGTAAGAAAACCCTAATAAAAATACCATAAATGAACGGTAGTCCAAATTGTCGAGCTTTTCCACATATGGTTTGGATGATACCCCAAACACGTCGTTAAGCAAAATAAGCATACACATTTTTATTAGGGAACACCCCGAAGGGACCGACTCCGCTGCTTCGAGATTTTGGCGTAATTGCTTTTGCAAACAAACACGTCAATCGTTGATTTCTCGCGAATAAAATCTCAATCTCGTGAATAAACTAAACCAAATGATAGAGGAATCATTCCTCTAAATTTTGTCATTTTTGCAGGCTCAGCTTTTATTCGCGAGAAATCGGCGATTGATGGGTTTGTTTACAAAGCAATCACACCCAAATCTCAAATCACTCCGGAGTTTTCAAGATCCTCTACAACATCAAAGGCAATTTTTAATGCTGCTTGAGTTCCGGAATTGTTACCACGTTCCAAAAACCCGGATGAATTCAAATCCCGTCAAGCACGTCGAAAACCCGAGAGCTGTGAAAATAATATTCCCTTCTGCACTATTTACTTCAACGATTCTGATGACGCCACTTCGGCCTACTTCGGTTGATGTTTACTCTCTAATGAGCTAGCCTGGTATATGTAAGTCGTATGATTGTATAATCGTTGTACTCCTTTAATCTAATACGTCGATTAGTACAACAATACAAATCTAGATAGAGCTGGAAATAAGGCGTAACAGCTTTTGTAAACAATGACTTCTATCGATGATTTCTAGGAATTCAAGGCACGTTCACGCAGACCAACCTAACCATCGGATAGGGGAAGTCTTTCCGTACCCGATGAGGAAATCATCAAGAGAAGTCATTGCTTACAAAAGCTGTTAGGCCCTAATTCCAGCTCTATCTAGAAATATCGAGTAATACCTTTGACAGACATGATTGTAAAATCATGTCTGTCAAAGGTATTACTCGATATTCAAGGGGCCATTGACTTAAGACTGAGCTAAGGGAGGTCCCAAGATTGTCATGGAGTTCGTAAAACAGTTCTGTTGGAAATTATTTCGGATTTCCTGCGGAGTTCTTATCAGAATGTTCATGGAATTGTGGTCAAAACTATCATGGAATTGTCATTCATATTAATTTTTGCAGTATTCTCCAAATTTTATTCAGAAATGTATTGAAGATCTCTTCGGAATTCCTTAAGAATTAATTCTTGAATTCCCTAGAGGTTCTCATCAGATTACACTTGAAAATTTCCCAATCCTCATTTATATTCTCCTTAAAATTCTTCCTGTTAGTACAAGATTCTAAGCCCTGAGAAATTGTAATGGTTCTCAGGGCTTAGATTCTTGATTAATTTTTCAAATGCACTCCCTTTACAATTATAGAACAGTCAGTTCAGCATGCTTATCAAGTGAAAGTAGAATGACGGAACTTTTGAAATTTTGCAAACTCTGACATCTTCAATACTTCTATTCGACTTGAACATATTTCTATCCCTGGAGTAAATCTGTGAGAACATTTTCTGCAATTTTCGAGCATTACAGCTTTTCAGGTATGTTAAATTTTAAATTTTATGAAAATTACTGAAAAAGGGGTGGGGGACATGTTTGCTTTGTGACAAAGTTTCATATGTTAAATTGATCACAATTGTTGTGCATAGCTAAGATAAATATTAAAAAATCTTTAGTGGTGAACTGAAAACAGAGGAATCTGTCTATTTCAGCATGCCACCAGTGTCTACAAACTCCAACAACTGAATGTTGTTTAGCCACTTCCATAGTTGTTAAAACATTCTAAGCTGTAAATTGCAAAGCCTGTGCTGCACATCACGTGTTTCTCTGTGCCATTTCCCCATTGCACGTTCAAATTCACCTTGAACGAAGGAAAAGTGAGTACCTACCAGCCAACCAATCTAGACGCGACGAAGCATTTGATCCACCTCGCAATCAAAACTCAAACTAGGAGAAATCACCCACCATCAGTCTTGATCGCGGTTCCGATCGGTGCGCTTCAATTTTGTGGCTAGCTCCAAGCTTTTGTAGAAGACAGCGTGAAAAAGCCTAGCACTAGAAATCAAAATCAGCGCTTCTATAGCGTAAAAAGAGTGTCACATCAATGTAAATGCTTGAAGGTAACAGTGCAAGTGACTGAACGCATGAAACCGTGAACCCTTTTTTTTTCGAGAAATCTCAAATGCAGAGAAGTAACCGTTGAGTATACCAACTCAATGTATTTTCTGGATTAGTAGTGCTTTAACAAGATGCAGTCCACATCAGTTTTGCTGTTGATCGTACTGACCGTTGGGAAGCTGGAAGGTGCCAATCTATCTCCGAATGTGGTCGTTATCATTGCTGATGATCTTGTACGGTGAAGCACTCGTTTTTATTAAGGTTGATGAACTAACAGTGTGAATTTTCCTTCAGGGTTGGAATGATGTGAGTTTTCACAGTTCAAAGCAGGTCTTCACGCCGAACATCGATGTCCTGGCGTATCAAGGGGTCATTCTGAACAGACATTACTCTACACCGCTTGGAATGCCGTCCCGAGCGGCTCTAATGACAGGAAAGCACCCCTTGAACATCGGTATGCAAAATTCCACGATTGAGCCGGATCAACCGTGGGGGCTTGGTTTAGAGCACAAACTTATGCCGGAGTACTTTCGGGAAGCGGGGTATGCAACCCAGTTGATCGGAAAGTGGAACCTCGGATTTGCCAGGAAGGACTACACGCCGACCCATCGTGGATTTGATGGTCACTTTGGTTTTCTCGGACCTTACATCGACTACTGGGATCACAGCTTACAGTTGCATAATGTAAGTTTGATCGCGAGCCGTGTTTGTGCGAAGATGTAACGTTCATTCAATAGAAGAAGAGCGAAACGGGCGGAAAATGTAATAGCAGACCTACCCATTAGAAAGGCCGTCTCTGCCACCGGCAGTGAAGCGATAATTTTTTGTTGATTGAAGGCAATTACCAAGGTTTTGATTCGATGCAATTGTGCGCCTTAATGTAAGACTATAGCGAGGCGATTTTACTTTATTTGTTTATCCATACATGGTGGTGTTTATTCATACCCCTTCGGTTTCGGCGAATGTCAACAACCGATCGATTAAGATAAACTTGCAAGTTTTTGTTTTCTATCAAAGCTCTACTGAAACCATAATCCATTTTTCTAGACCTCGACCCGTGGATTGGATATGCGTCGAAATATGGAAGTTGATTACTCAGTTAATGGAAGCTATGCGACGGATTTGTTCAACGGCGAAGCAGTGCGGCTGATTCGAGAGCACGATCAGAAGAAGCCGCTGCTCTTGGTGCTGACACATTTGGCGCCGCACACGGGCAACGAAGATGATCCCATGCAAGCTCCCGCGGAGGAAGTGGACAAGTTTGACTACATCAGGGACAAGAAGCGGCGCGTGCTGGCCGGTAAGTGGCAGTAGAATATGTATGTGTTTAACTGTATGGAAACTCCGAAATTGCTGACCCACTGCGATCATAAAGACATGGTTTTCTAATGGATTTGACTTGCAACTTTTTGCCTTGGGCTATCGATTTGGAATTTCTGGAATTTGGCTGAACAGGATATACTATTATTGGTAGGGTGAGGTACCTAGGGGGCTACCAGAACAATTGGCTAAGCAGTGGACTACCAGTGAGGGTGGATCATCCAACGACCTTTTTTGATGGATAGCTAGATCTGGAGGACTATATCTAGTCTCAAGACCGGCTGGGTGATTTACTAAGCTAATCCGTGCTCGGATTTTGATTGGAATTAGAAAAAGCTAGTAGATTACTATTTTGATCGTTTATTATCCTACAATTTACACTCAGTGTGGGTGGGAACGATATGTAATGTGTGAGGGTTTTAACCAGTGCTGATAAATGTTGACATGTGTTCATAACAATCTTCCGATGTGTACCTGTACACCGCAGCTGCAGGTGTACAGGTACACTGAGGCAAATAAACGTTAGAATTTCATGAGGCTCGACTTATGAACGATACATATGAATTTCATAAGCGTGACTTATGATTGATTTTCATCTAACATGAGGTAGCTCTTATAGATCTTTAACCATTTCAATTTTCCAACACACGGGACCCGTAACTTCAACGTCCATGGTTCGGTTCCAGTCTGCTCCATTTTATTATTTTTTTTTGTCAACATTATTTTCCATAAGGCAAATCAATAAAATTCCTACCGATTTCTCGTGGCTAAAATTCATAAGTGGTTCTTATGGAATTCTTACGTTCTATTGGCTCAGTGACTTTTGAACGACAGCATGTAAAATCACAGAAGAAGACACGTTATCGCTTGCATTTACCGACCGTCACAGAATTGCTGCAAGCTTGTGTATGACGAAAAAATGTCACTGGATGGATTAATTTATAATTTGGTCAGTTTTGCCAAATTTTACTATCTATACATTGGAGTGTTTATTATTCATTCTTATCTTATGATTCCATGCTTTTAACTTTAAATATATGCGGTAATTAGCAAGAAAACTGCAAAATTCCAAACAATACAAAACTTTCTAGGTCTCGTTTTCTATTGTGTGTGGTCTCGTTTTCAAATGTACTATAGTAAACAAGTACTAAAACCGGCCGGCCGGGAACTACTGGAAATACTGGGCTACCGATGGTGGTGACTACGTAGTGATGATGGTGGATACGGTGGAGGTGACAGCAATGGCGACAGTGGTGTTGATGGTAATGGTAACTGCACACTTAGAAATAACTAATTTTAGACATGACGGAATCCATCTTTGACATAAAAGATCAGACGTAAACAAATATTTCATGTAAAATTAAGTGCTCCGAGACTGAAAAGCTCGTTACTCGACGAAAAGTACGTTTGATTGAATTGAATTTCGCATCTGTTATGACGAAAAATGACGCTCGTATATGTCAGTCTCAGAGCACCTAAATTTACATGATTTTTCTAAGTGTGTGCGTGGTAGCGTATGGTGACTCTGGCATGCTGAAAAGTTGACATCTTCGGTGGGAAGCTATGCGCTGTTCCAGCTCTAGGGAGGTTCCCCTGAACTTATGGAACGATGCGGTTAAACATCGTGCCATGTAAAGTTTCGGTTGGCGTGGCCTTCCCACCTTCTCCTCGAGGGTTCACGGAAACTCTTCTAACGGGAATTTCCGAAACCTGTCTGAAGAGACCACGTCCAGGAGTAAATTGTCCAGGAGTAAATTGTCCAGGATGGGAGTTCAGTAAGTCAAAAATGTTGTGCATTTTATTTTAATTAAGCTTTAAAAACGAATTGCCTTCTTTTTGAAAATAGAGAAAATCGTACTTCATCAAAGTTGTAGTTGAATTAATTTCAAGCAATATTGTCATTTTTCTGACACACTTAGACTTTTTTGACGAGATGGGTACCAAAGAGCATTTCGACATTTTGTTTTGCTGGATCTCAGTTAAAAACTTACCGAGATTCAGCTAATAAACGGGAATTTTGCCGAGATATCAGCTAACAAACATACATTTTGTTGAATTTCAGCAAGTTTTTCACTGTGATCCAACAACATAAAATGCTGACCCAAGCAACACACATGTCCTATGACAGTTTATATAACCTTTGTATGACTGGTTTTGGTTGTATAGCAGTTTACTCAATATACGTCTATGAATTTGTGTTACTTGGGGAGCTGCTCGGTGGTGCCCATCTCGGAAAAATATAAGGGTGTAAATCTTAATTTAATAGTTTTGCACAGGAGGAACCCTTGGTAATTCAATTAAAATGTCCTAAATCTTGCTTATAAATAACAGAATTCGATTTTCCCTATCACCAACAAACGATACAGTACAGACCCAATTACCCCCAAGTCTTGTGCAAATATTCTACTTTTTATCAGTGTAGGGAAAATATCTAAAATCAGATCTCAGTCTATCCCATAATCACGCTTGATTTTCGAGGACAAGTCAAGCTGAACATTGCATTAGGTCCTAAGTAATATTGATCGATTCTCTTCGTCGACTTTCTTTTTCGTTAACAATTTGAGCGCATAACCGTTTCTTGTTGTGTTTGTCATATTAGATACTAGATAAAAGCTTCACTTATCGATCTGTGTGCTGAAGAAACCTGGGAATGTCTTTACATGGCCATAGGCATACAAAGAGAAAGTCGACGAAGAGAATGTGTCAATGTTACTTAGGACCTAATGCAATGTTCAGCTTGACGTATCAACAAGCAAAAATCAGCGGAGGATATTACAACTTATGATATCGTTGCTCCAAATATCAAGCTATCAGAACTCATCAGCTGCGATTATCAACCACTGCAGTGCACTGTGGTGAGTTTGACATTCAAAATTTTGCTTTGCCGAAACTTCCATCACGACTAAAGTAAAGATATATAGCAAACTTCTCTATCTCCGTATAAAAAACGATGTGCAACGCACTTAGTTTTGTGTCAGCTGCAATTTCAACGTGTGATGAGTAGCCTCGAAGTATCAAAGGAGCTTGTAAAATTAATATCAAGCATGATATTTTATTCCAATATCACGCGTGATATTAAGAGCGTATGAGAACAAAACAATATTATTTTTCAAATGATTATGCGATCACTTACTTGCACTTATAATACTTTAGTAAGTTTCATGATTCATTTATATCCCCAAGGCTAAGCAGCCAATGGCTGAAAGCCTTGTAAATAAAGGAAAAAAAAAATCATTTATTATTATTTCACAATTATGACCATGATTATGCTGCGTAATGCAAACTTGTGAAATTCAGTTTGATCAATTCTAAGAAGCATAAAACATTTTATTTTAAGCCAGAAGCTACTTGCACTTGGATACTTTTAAAAAGATACTATGTTCAGCGACTCTGAAAAATGTTAATTCGTTTTAGAGGAAATTCTTTCGTAACACTGTTGATATATATATTTCTATAATTTTGTTATTGAATAAAACACTAAATTCGAAACTTATTTTTTGTAGTGAACAGGATTTCAGTGAAATATGTGGCATATAAAAGTTCTTTGATGTTTCTAAAAATGAGCAAAATTTCAAAAAAGTATAAGGGTCTGTGCCTAGGGGCATGCACGGAAGCTTGACGTAATACCGCTAGTGGACAGAACAAATGTGAAGAGCATTTAGTTCTATTAATTGATCGATTATCTATTATCTTAACCCTTTCTGTTTTTGATTTGTAGGCGTACCAAATTTGTAGCACTTTTTTCAAAGAGAAAGTTGACGAAGAGAATCGATCAAAATCACTTGCACCTCTCCTTTCAAGTTTGGTTGCAAGCGCATTTTGTGTGGTCGTTGGGGCGTGTTGTTCTGAATATGGACAAACAGGCAGCCCAAGTAACAATTTTGGTTTTATGAGGGTTCTGTAGACCATGATTTAGACTTGTAGAATGCTATAAAACCGCGATAAAACCGGCAATGTTACTTGGGAGATAAATTATATTCCTACTCTTTATTGTTATAAGCTTGGTGGCCCTGAAAAGAACCAATTTGTTGCCAAAGTTCGTGATGATTTAACCTCCGAAACCGTACAGAGTGCGTCTCTGTCGCTTCAAAGCGTAGATGACACTTCCATGGCCGCTTACGCTTGGTGTGTTCAGTGTAGGTGACAGCATCATGAATCTTATTTTCCAGGAACACACTCAGCACACTTCGTAGATCAGTCATTGTTGCTTGTTAGGTAGAAGCGTGGCTAGACAGCAGCGCTATTTTATATCTTTTCAGGTTAAAGCAGAATGATGTGCAACCAAGTGGTACTCGATTATGACGACTGGGTTTGGGAAGAACGTTTATTTCATGAAAACAGTCATACAATTATCACTTTTTATTTGTACATTCGACAATGTTTGGCATATCCACTTTTTCAATAGTTTCTTGTTGAAAATCATCAAACGAAAGCATTGCGTAGAAATATTTTTATTCAATTAGTGATAAAATTATTGAAATTGGTCCAGGGGCAGCTGAGTTATTAATGCTCAAAATCTTTCATAATTTTGTTTCCTGTTCCATCTTCGGTTTTCATAAAGTGTACCCCCAGTATAGAAATTAAAAATGTAGTTCAAGAAACAGCAGTTATTTCAGAAAAAGAAGTTTTCCTTACATCGATCAAACTTCATACATACGCAACCAGTCAAGCAAAAAACTATATCAATTGATCGTTAATATTTGATGAACCCACCATCGCTGTATGGCTTAATGGCCATCTCTCTATGAATGACTGTATAAAATCACAGGTGATAGTTAGTACCATACTATCTTCGGCAACATTGTATTTTCGAATACAGTGCAAATATAAAAGAAGAAGTTTATAGCCATATGAAGATTTCATGTGTGAGAACATGCACTTGATCCTGAACGGGAACGATACCCTTAGCAACTAGACATGCATTGCCATGTTCATTAAGCCTAAAATCATAATTTAGCATAAATGTACTTAGCCATAATATATTCTAGGGTCTTCAACTCGGTTTCCAAATTGTCTTTGAGTTCAGATTATTTAAACTACTGGATCAACCAGGGCTTGCAAGATGTTCTCAGCAATGATATATGGTCAATCAGATTCATACAGGATATACGCACCATCTACGATTGAGTTTCATATATTTTGAATGTTCTTCTTCTTCTTCGCATTCCAAGCTTATTGCATATCGCATATTAGCTTATTGCGTGCTCTCAACTTAGTGTTCTAGATGCACTTCCACAGTTAATAATTGAGAGCTTTCGATGCCTGTACCAAGTCCAATCATACTTCTATGCCCAGGGAAGTCGAGAAATTTTCCTACCCGAAAAATTCCTAGACCGCACCGGGAATTGAACCCAGCCACCTCCAGCATGGTCTTGCTTTGTAGCTGCGCCTTTACCGACTGAGCTAAGGGACACCTCAGAATGTTCTAGCGATGCAAAATCGTCTGAGAGTTCAAAATAAATGATGCCCCAATATGATTCATTACGTTTATCCGTAAAATCCATATAACACTTTTATGCTTATTAAATGTTTAGATTCTACAAATTGTCTTGAATTTCAGACCAAACGATCTACTAGGTCAACCACGACTGAAACAAATTTATATAGTAGTAAAACTCTTTCAAGCAGACTCATAGACATGGAGTCTATATATGTGTATCAATTACATTTTATTCCATGTAGGTTCTAGGTTCCTCAAATCTTCCTGTACTTCAGATCAGATGATATACTACCTCAATACTAACTAAAACATTTGTTTTAGCTATGAACCAACCGGACAACCAGATTCATGGAGTGCACAACATTTACATGTATGCAAGAAGTTTTTCGGTCTCCAAACCGTCTTGGAGGTCAAATCAAACGATTTACTCAATCAACCACAACTGCTACAAAGACTACGACAAATTTATACACAGAAAATATTTCTGAATTCTACTGGTGATGTAAATATTAATGCATGTACAATTCTTTTTCACGTAAACTGGCAACTTGTAAGAAATGTTGCTTTCAATGATGGACGGTTGCATATCATATTTGGCGTATTTCATTAAATGTCTCATAAATTTACACGATCTATAAAGTAAACTTGTATGATATATGACGTTCCATTTATGTGCATCATAGTAACATAAATTTACACTACTTTTTCGAACTGTGTAGGCTAGGACGTATGAGGAAAATCTACTAGTTCAAATGATTTGAATCTATGGATAATTTGGGGATCTTAAAACATGTTTTATCCATGAAAGTGGAACCAAAATTATACGAAGACTTGAAGACACCTATGGCATGTTCTCCAGGGAGGTTTGCTGAACCAAGAACATCTTAAATATACGAAAATCGTTCGGAAAATATGCGCTTGAACTCCATGAAATTGTTGGGATATGTAACGTTTCTGAGGACATTGGCTCAGTCGATGATTATCTAGTAGATCATTTGAGCTGAGCTCCAGTATGGTTTGGAGGTCCTAGAACATCTAATACACATAGAAATTGTTTGTAACTGATGTGTATTGATTCCAGGAAACTGTTTGGACAAGTATCGTTGTTATTGACATTGTATCAGTTGTGATTGATACAATAGATGAGTTGATATAAACTCCAGGACGATTTGGATTACCTAGAACATCTTATATTTATGTAAGTGAATATGTGAATAATCTGCATAAATCAGCTTCAGACTCCATATATCAATTTCGCTTCTAAGAACATTGACTCTATTATGTATAAAGTCTTGAATGGACTCTCCACGATAATTTGAAAAATCAGTGCCAACATTTCAAAGGGGCGTAATTGCATTTGTAAACAATGAATTTCGTCTTCGATTTCTCGCGAATGAAAGCTCACTTATGAAAATGAATGACAACAGCAGGTAGATGAATGTTTTCTGTCCCAGCTAGCATTGGTAATTTGAAGGGCTGGGCTTTTATTTGCGAGAAATCGACGGCTAAAGCCATTGTTTACAAAAGCAATTACGCCCCTTTGAAATGTTGGCACTGAAATGTTGAACACCTTATAGAGTAAGTGAGTCAGATGGCATTAGTGTTCCAGTTTTTGGGCCTAGGGCCTAACACCTATTTGAAATAAATGTTTATGGTTTTAATTGCGTAAATGTATGGAAAAATATATGTTCTAACTTTGTATCGAAATAAATTTGGAAAAGAATGAAAACATTTTGAATTTAAAATAGGGCCAATTAGGGAACCACTTGGGCCAAAAATTGGCTCACGTAATCTATATGTTAAATGAATGTTAAATGATGCACATGACTCTATGAATCTGTTAGGACTTGAATTGATACTAAGTCTCAGTCGTGGTTGTTTTAGTAGATCATTTGATCTCAACTTCAAAGCAATTTGGAGAGCCTAGAACATCTTACATACATGGAAATGGTTCACAAATGATACGTATCTTTTTTTATCGGCTCTGACGCTCTTTTAACTAGCTTTAGCTGTCTTAGTGTTTTAACAGTTATTAAGTGAGAGCTTTCTATGCCAGCACCAATGCATGAATTTGTATATTGTGTGGCCATCATAACGATGCTCTATGTCTAAGGTAGTCGAAAAAATTTCCAACCCGAAAAATTCCTAGACTGGACCGAAAATTGAACCCAGCCACCATGATTTTGCTTTGTAGCTGCACCTTTACCAACTGAGCTAAGGGAGGCAATTTGAATTCATGATGTATGAATTCGCACCATTGGACATCGATCATAGATAGATTTGGTGAATTTGTCCCAGTTGAATAAATGTATTATTATTGTTCTTGATTGCCGTTTGAAACCTGGTGGGATAACCTCGATCGAGCGTTATCTATTGTTCGGTTGTTGCGGTTGGGTGCCAGTGATGAGTTTAGATTTTGCTAATTTTGAAACGTATCTAGGAATTCCTGAAAAAGTGCAAAGAGTTAGAATAATTGTTTTTTATTAGTAATTTCTGGATGTAATTAAGGTAAAGCTGGTGAAATTTCGTTATGTGTGAATTCGCCTCATTAGACTTATTTGACGCAAATTGAAAAAAAAAATTTACATTTATTATCATTATTGATTCCCACTTCCCTAATAAAAAATACAATACCCGAACGATAACATTAATGATAAAACTATTCCTCAAATGGTTTTGATTATTTCCTGAACACGTCGTTAAGCAAAATAACCATACAAATGTTATCCGGGTTGCAAAACGATGTGCGATGAGAGCGTTTGTTCATGTTGATACTTGATAATCTTTGCGAACGTGATTTGACATCCAGGCTTAGCACGCGGAAATTTAATTATGTTTGCAATTGCCGCTCATTTCTACAATGCTTAATAGACGAGTGCACGGATGGATTTGAGTTAACTCACTCGACAAAAAGTGACACAACAGCGGGGCCCTGTTTACTAAAAATGAACACATGAATAATACTCACGTAACATTTGAAAGCCTTTTTCACGCGAACCGAATACTCCCACGCAAACTAACAACTCCATAGGGTGGGGAAATTCTCCCCTTCCCGATAGTGCTCTTGGTTTGCGTGGACGTACTTCGGTTCTCGTGAAAAGGACCTAGCAAATTATTCACTAAAGTTGATAGGCCCTTTTCAAATGTTACGCGAGAATTATTAATGAGTTCATTTTTAGTAAACAGGGCCCCGCTGTTGTGTCAATTTTTTTTCAGTAGATGAACAAAAGTTCACCCGTGCACTCGTCTATGGATACTAAGGTCAGACATACACACTTAGAAATAACTACTTTTACACGAGACGTAATCCATATTGGACGTAAATCATAGAACGTAAACAAACATTTCATGTAAAATTATGTGTTCTCAAACCGAAATATCAGCTAGTCGACGAAGAGAACGTTTGGTTGAATTAATTTTCACGTTTCTTTCAACTGATTCTTATGTCAAAAGGCCCGCACATGTGTCGGTCTCAGGGAACCGAAATTTACATGACTTTTTAGTAGTGTGTGGGAAATCATTTACATTTATTTGCCTCTAACTTTTTCCATGAATAGAATTTCATAAAATTATGTATAAAGGTTTTGTAGGTTTTATGATTAAGGTTCAATTTACTTTGATGCATATTCGAAAATTAAAATGCAGTTTTAAAGCTCGCTTCATTTTGTGTAAAATAGCAAAAAGAATAGAATGACACGAGCTTTTTGCAATTTTAAATGATGCGTCGAAAAAACTGGACAATACTATTGGACAGGTGAGACAATTCCCTATCTAATCGCAGACTTGCAGACTTTATCAGTGAAATAAATCAACACACTCAAAAAGCTATGAGCTAAACAGTTATTTAAAAAAATCATGCCGGCTAAAAAAATTATTAGGGAGTGAATACAAAAACTGATCTCTAAAACATTCTAACGCAAATGTCACCGTAACATGATCTTCCGTCTACACACTTAGAAATAACTACTTTTACACGAGACGTAATCCATATTGGACGTAAATCATAGAACGTAAACAAACATTTCATGTAAAATTAAGTGTTCTCAAACCGAAACATCAGCTAGTCGACGAAGAGAACGTTTGATTGAATTGATTTTCACGTTTCTTTCAACTGATTCTTATGTCAAAAGGTCCGCTTACATGTGTCGGTCCCAGGGAACCGAAATTTACATGACTTTTTAGTAGTGTGTAGATGAAACTTTGTGGAAACTAACCGGATTTGTTTTCACCTATGATCATCGGGGGGTAAATGAAGTCCTCGAGTGCTCACAGCACCGATTGGCCAACTTTGCGCGCTTAAGGACTTTGTTAACCCCCTGACGATAATTTCAACCTTACTACATTCAACTCCCCCCACAGCAATGATCTCCAAGGTCGACGAAGGAGTTGGCCAAATAATGCAAACCCTCACGGAGCGGAACATGCTGGACAACTCGATCGTCCTGTTCTACGCCGACAACGGTGCCCCGACCGTCGGAATCCACTCCAATTCGGGTTCGAACTGTCCGCTGCGAGGGGTAAGAGCTAATTTCCCCGTATTCAATCGGTAAAATTGTTAACTATTTGCTTCGTTTCAGCAAAAATACAGCCCTTGGGAGGGAGCCGTCCGAACGGTAGCCGCCATCTGGAGTCCACTGCTGAACATCACCGCCGGCCGAGTTTCAAACCAGTGGATCCACGTGAGTGATTGGTTACCGACGTTGGCGCATGCTGCCGGTATCGAGGGCATTCCGATAGGCAGTGAAATCGATGGACGCAATCAGTGGGAAGCGCTGAGGAATCCGAACATTACCGTGAGGAATGTGGTGATGAATAACATTGATGAGCTATTCCACTATAGTAGCTACAGTCGGGACGGATGGAAGTACGTAAACGGTACTTCCTGGGAGGGAAAGTTTGATCACTGGCTTGGTGAGTTGGGCGATGAGGATGAGTTGAGCGAGGAAGAGTATGTGGTGAGGCTAGCGGGATCGATAGTTGGAAGGATGATGCCACTGGATTTGGATCATATGGCTCGTCTTCGACGAGCGGCGACCGTCGAGTGCGAAGTTACCGGTCATGAAAAGTCTTGTGATCCGAAGAAATCCGCATGTTTGTTCAATCTGCTGGAAGATCCCTGCGAAAGGAATAACGTGGCGTCGGAGCATGCGGATATTTTGGAAGAATTAAGAGAGGAAGTAGAGCGGTATCGAGTTGCAGCTGCTAAGCCCAGGAACAAACCCGGTGATCCTCGAGCGGACCCCGGACTCCACAACAATACCTGGACCTGGTGGCAAGATGAATGCGATAACTGGACAAACATGTACCAATTCCCACTGATATTAATCGGAATTTCCATTGCCATAGCAGCGTTCCTTCTGCTGCTTTTCCGACCTTTTTAGAATTAAATTTTAAGTACTAAATGCACGGTGAATAAATTTATCCGAAACAGGTCCCCAATCGCTCGTTGTCGGTTGCATGACGACAGCTGAACTTGAACTATCCATTTGCCATGCAGGAAGCACAATTCAACGAGACAACGACCCTTATCAAGGCGCGCCTTCAACTGGCACAGCAGACGGCTTGCGAGTCAAAAAGACGACATGTTACGATTTATGAACAGTGCCGGCAGGGTTGAATCCTCTGTCAGAAGATTTATTTAATTAATTGAATATCGATACGAATCTTATCGAAAATCAATCACATTCATTATCAAATGTCAAGTGCAAAATTAGTCTCATGATCTTTTTTTTTGCAACTCCTCGCATTTGCCACAGCGCCATTGACCATCGCCATCTGACGATATAACCGACAAAACAATACTAATTAATTGTCTTCGTTCGATCCGTACACCCCCAGCCCCCCCGTTGAAATCAGCTAGCTCATAGTCTCAACCTTCTTATGGTTTAATTTTAAAAAGTGGTCATCATCATCGTTCGTCAATTGGTCAGAATTTGATCAATCGATTACTACTCAGCCAAACAACGTAGCGTCTTACGTAGGCCGGGGGGTAATTACCAGTTCGAAACAAATAAGAACATCCAACTCACGTGCTCGGCATGCTTTTGCCGAGCGAGGTAGATACCTACCTACCTAATTGAGTCTGCCGAATGATTTATGAGATTACGGCTAGGAACAATCGATTCGGTTAAACGTCAAGTGGATGATATGGATAAGCGATGCATCTGCGTCTGTTGAATGACAATCTGATGGTGTTTTGCTGCATGTTTTTGGTCGTAAATATGGTTGAAGTTTGAAAGTAAACAGAGCATTCAGCAAAGCTAAATCGTTACTAATACAATGACACCGGCACACTGGGCCTGCGTTAGGTGGCAAACGGAAGGGAAGATTTCCATAGCAGCGAAAAAAGTTTGTTTTCGATTGTCAATAAATTCGAAGCACCACCGTGTGTCGTTGTATGTAAAAGTTTTCTATCTTATCACGTGTTGCAATCAATCCAGGGCTCGAGTAGGCAAAGAAGGTAAGAAAATGTGTTTGGTTTATTGCAAAACATACAGAAAGCTTAGCAGTTTGAATTATGTATCCGATTTGAAGGGGTAATGAATTGAATGTAAAAAAAATGGATAAACAGATGTGCTGAAGGGAAACGTTTATTGATTTTATTGGCAACATTGTTATTCTAGAAACAGATTTTTTTTTTAATATTTCAAAACGGATTTAAAATATTTTTGCTAATTTACATCATAGTAGTGGCAAAACGTTTCTCGTTTTTCAGTTGCCAAAAAACGGAATAATTTTCTATTTAAATATGTGCTTTTCAATGTGTTGGTTCTTACCGCAAATGAGTTTAAAATAGCATTATTTTATTTTTCTACTGGAGAACTTAGCATTGGAACTTATAATATATCACTGGTATCTGAAAACTTCCCTAAAACATGGAAAAAGTCTTTCCTAGCGCTTATAACCGTGGAATTGTTTTACCATTATGTTTCGTATTCCAAAGCTTTTTGAAACGATCGTTAATGAAAAACTATTCCATAAAATCAAAAATAGAATCACTAACATGTATCAAATTGGAGAAAAACGGAAATTGAGCCTGAACTTCTCAAATTTCCTGAAGCATACTAATCGCCAACAAATACCGCAAAGTGCCATAATTCTACGCAGCGTCTAATTCTACACATTTCACCAAAACTTTGCAGTATAATACAATTTTATCTATGTTTATATTTTTCGTGGATAATACCTACCTTCATGTACAAGTAAACTCTAATTACAAACAATTTATAAATATTTCAGACATTTTCAAAACTGCGTGAAATTAGGCCTTAGGTCGCAGAATCATAGGCGTAGCCAGAGGAAGGCGGGGGGGGGGGGGGGGGCGACTGCCACCCCCCATAAACTCAGTAACACAAAGGCTCTCGGGGAAATGGCGTTCGGTGAAATGGCATTCATCCAAATTTTCCATAGTAAATTTTTTTTTGCACCTCCCTAGCTCGAAACCTGGCAGAATTATGGCACTTTATACCCCGTTCACATTACAGGGTATATCACGTGATATACGCTGTCTTGCAATGAGCACTCATACATCTAGTTTTTACTGGAAATCCTATGTATGAGTGTTCATTGCAAGACAGCCTATATTACGTGATATAGGCTGTAATGAGAACGGGGTATTACGGTAGTTAGATTCAAAAGAAAGTTCTAATTTATGCCGACAACAGGATATCAGTCCCATCTGGAAAAACAGCATGCCGAGAAAAACGCCGTTGAATATTTGATTGTCCGTAGGCTCTTAGGGATGGCACATGAGCCAACCTAATTTTGACATTTTTCACGATATTTTCTGAATAAAACATGCAGTGGAAAGTAAGGCAATATGGCCACCCATTTTACAAAAAAAAAATGTTGCAAGCTTAATGCTTGAAGCCTACTTCAACTATCCATTTGATTTAAGGTGATTACTTGTGAAGTCCACAAATGGCCGCCACGTAGGCTATAAATTCACTTCCACATCGGATTTTTAATTACACAAATCTCAGAAATTAGAGTCCCATTTCACCTTATGGACAGATGTAAATAAATGAGGTAGTTATGATTTGATATATTGAGAATCCAGCCCAGAAAATGTGAAAAATAACATAAAAATATTATTGAGCCATCAGCGTGAAGGAATTGGTGGGCGTTGGCCAAATTTGGATTTTTCAGATATAATCCTAAATAGGACCTAGATTATTTAATACTCTAGTAACCTCAAGTCCGTGCTCTGTCACAATGTTTCATTGTGATTAATCAACACTCAAAGGGGTAAAATATAAAATTTGGAGTAAATTTGAAAGAAAGTGAACTTGGAGTGTAGAGCGCACTGCCCACTGGACGAATCTGAAGTCTGGCCAAATGAGTGGGGTATGGGTTTATTTGATTGAACGTCATTTCCAATGTATATATTGATACATTCAAACCATAAGATAAGACAGATATAGGATGCGGAGGGCCCGCTTAGGAGGAGCCTAACCCATGTTATGGTTTCCATTTATTAAATAGTTCAGATAGGCTAGAAATGACAGGTTTATAATGAGAGAATGTACCATATTGGGAAAGCAGAATTTTCATAGGATTCAGAGCGGCTGAGCTGTTCGTTTGTAGTTTGACCTTCCTTCAAAACCAATTTGGCTCTAGAACAATTTTAAACTTGTTCAGCATTATTCACCACTGCCAGTGGTGGCGGGGAGGACACCCCTCACCATCCCTCTCCAAAGAGGGAGTTTGGTAAAGAGAGATGAAAAAACCGATTTGTACCTTTCTTAAAAGTTGTCCTAGCTCGCTATTTACTATCTATGTGCAATTTTCACACTGCCGTACTCTAACGGAACTATCAACTCTATACTTTCATTTCTTCCATCTATGGTATAAAAATTACCACTTTAGTCTGTTATTTGAAATTAGCATCTTCAACTTTTTTGGACTTTTTTAAAGTGTCCATTGACCATTTCATGAACGTTCGCATTTCTGATAAGCTTAAATCTTTAAAAAAAAAATACTTATTTTGTTGTTGAAGTTTTTAACAGTTTTTAAATTTCTAACAAAAATTTGTGATTTTATTTATCAGTGAGTATTTTTTTCTGAGAAGGCAATTTAAATTCCAACAACTTTTTCTCGGACGTCATTTCGATTAGAGGAGCCATTTTCGTACTTTGAATTATTATTATTTTTTTTTTCATTTCGTTTATTTGGCAGGCTCAAATGTTATAAAAATAACTTAGCGGAGCCGAGTAACATAGAATACCAATTATGGTACTCAAAATACAAAAAAAAATATATACAAAAAAAAATTTTATCATATCATTTTCCAGGGTGGCGATCGAAGCGGCGACAAAGCGATCTTCTCCCGTGCACGCAACTTCTTTCTTTCCCGAATTTGTTCCTCATTTTCATTGAACCCGAATCGTGATCGCTGCTGATGTTTCTGAACATCGTTTCCCGTTGCATGCTCTCCGCTACTCTCGTCGGTCGTCGGGGTAGTCACGTCCATTTCGTTATCTTCATTCAACCCCGTGTCCGTTTTCTTTCACTTTGCTTTCCTTTTTCCTTCAGTTGCTTCTCCGGTTCCTTCCGAGCCTTCCGCTTGGGACAGGAAAGCTTCCGGTGTCCGTCCGCCTTGCACAGAAAACATTTATCTTTGTTGCTATCATTAAAAATATTTCCTTTGCGATTGAAGAAATGTAATGACGTGGGGATTTCTTTCTTCACATCCATATATACACCGCGTATCCCTGTATATACCTCAAAACACAGATCAGTTGGAAATTTCTCCCGGATGATGCGTTTAATTTTCCCCTATTTCCCCAGCACTTTATCCAGTTCGTTGTTGGGTATCTCTGGTGGCAAGTCATACACACGCACATATTGAATGAATTCACCAGCATGCGACATGCGTACCTTTGCCGTCGTTCCATTCGCATAATGGAAGATTAAATCCTCCGAATTGAATGTCAGAGCATGGAGTATCGCTTCCTCTGATTTGAACTTCATGAAGACTCCCCTTTCCTCACCAATGCGATAAACAGCTTCCATTTCAGCCGGATCCGCGTCAAGTGCTTTGGCGAAATTTACTATCTCTCCGATGTTTGGTTTGGCATCACAATGGCTGAAGCTAAACTGGATGGTGTTTTTTACTTCACACATCTTGCACCGTACCAAGAAATCAGATGATGCCATCCCTGCTTCGTCATCTCAGTCTGGTAATGGACAGGGACAGATAAGCCCCCGATCGCGAGCCTACCCAGAAGACTCGACTGGCCCATGGGTTGTTTACTTTCAGCCCAAAAAGAAACCTTTGAATGTAATGCAAATTACTAATGATCTGACGAAGCGGTTCTCGGCCGTGACCGAAATCTCGAAGGTGAGGTACAATAAACTTCGCGTTGTCGTCTCTAACCTGAAACAAGCTAA